TAGTGAAGACTTCGTAAAAACTAAATCTTTTACTCTGAAAAGGACTTTTTAAACATTATTTTTGTTTCCATGTTAAGTTTTTACTCGAATCCTATTGGCTACTAATACATATACCTTTTGAAACACACAAATATCATTTTTGGAAAATAATAGAACAGCCACTATGCGACACGAACCCTTGAGTGTCTCCATGGGCCTGGTGAAATTTTCCGCTCTTTATTTACGTGGCGCCGTCTGTATTACTCTTTCCGGTTGCAGACAGGTACCTCACTTTAAGCCTTTTTCCTCCTTAGCTAAATATCACCCTATCGTAAATTTCACTTTTTATGATTTTCCAATGCAGTCGTCTTGACAATGAAACGTTCTGATCTCTATAGTTTCTTTTTTACTTTTTGTAATTTTAACAACCATGAAAAAAGAACAATGTTGCATCCTTCTCATATTATTGTTTTCTGGTTCTCTGCCGACTGTTTTTAATTGTTAAGTTTAACTATTGGGCGGTCTTTTTTAACTACTTGCCCCTTTTTTTCAAAGATTTTCTTTGAAACATTAACCTTAATTTATAATTTACCCATTTGTAAAAGAATACATTTTTAATCATAACCATCTTGACAATCGGAAAGTTTCAATCTTTTTATTGTCTTTTTTACATTCCGTCTTATATTTTTCTTTAGAAAATTTATTGATTTTCTCATGTTAAAAATTTTAAACAGTCTTTTTTTAAGTATTTACCGGTATTCTTCAAAGATTTTCTTTGAATTATTTACCTTAACTTATAATTTTTTCATTTCTAAAAAATTAAATATTACATATATTTCAAAAATCAATTATTTTTAATTAAATTTTGGAAACAATATTTTATATTTTTATGGTTATTTTATTACCGTTACACAAAAAAAACAACTTTTTTCTGAGAATTTGAAAACAGTTATTTGCTTTTTAATAGTATTAAAAGTAGTCTAAAAATCGGTTTGTTACACATTATTTTTAAAACAGATGCCGATCTTGAAAATATATTTAAATTAGAAATTTTAAAAACGTGTTTTTACCGTTTTCAAATTTTTATCCCTACCAATCAATTTTTCGTTCTATATAAGAGGGAAAAAAATATTTTCATTCAGTCACTATACAGACATCAAAGTATTAACCATGTCTCAAATTGAAACACAAGATTTTACATTACAACACACAGAAAAAATTTACATCTATTATTACCAACTATTTGTCCATTAAATAGTTCATTTTCAAAAAAAGTAATTGTGGGAATTGAACTACAAGAAAATTGTACACCTTTACCTGTTATTCGACTTTTAAACCATTCTTCACAAGGAATTACATTTGATTCAAAAACATGGACAGCTCTACAACAAAAAATTGAATTAATTGATACATATTTTGACGAATCAAACTTATCATCACCTCTATATTCACAAGGTGCTGTTTTAGGAAAATATCGTCTTCTATTTTCCAGTGCATACGGATCGAAAGCTATTATTTTCGACGCTATTGTGGATGAAGAAGATGAAAATGTATGTGGTGAATCAAAAAAGAAAAAAATCTACACTCCTTCCATTGTAATGCAAAAAAGTTCTTTCCAAGGACTCAAAAATATTATTGTGTGTGTCGATGAACGTTTTCGTAGACTAGAGCGTTTATTAAAAAATGTTGAAGTTTGTACACAAGCACTAATTCAAAGTGTTTCGAATTATATTTTAACTGAAAAAATTATTTTTCACAATTTAGATTTTATAAAACAACTTTTACTCGCTAAATTTGATTTGTTTAAAAGACAAGTTCAAACAAAATTGGAAAACACATTTATTACACTACATTTTGATATTGTATTTCTTGAACTCATTTATGTTCAAAATGATTTCATTGCACACGGTGTTGTCAAGTCTATTAGCGATCAATTGTAAAAATTCTATTACACATATTTAAAAAAATACATACACAATCTATTATTAAATAATCATGAAAAATACTACTTTATTACATATAATTAATTTAACAAGTTACATAATTTTAACTACTTCATTTGTACTAAGTATTTTAATATTATAATTAAACTTACCTATCATTTAAAATACTGTGTATTTCATCTTCTCAACCCGCTCAAATTCCTTTTCACGCAACTTACCTTTTCTATAACTATGCCTTGCAGGTGGTCTACCTGCTGTACACCTGCACATCTTACCTTGTACTTTCAAAAACTATACTCATAAACTGTGACACTTTATTACCGTAGCAAAACGTCGCCTTTATTTTCACCGCTCACTTGTCCGTTTTCACGTAGTACATTTTACACCATTTTCCTACTCCATCTTGGGCCCAATACTTCCAGTTTTCCAAGACCCACCCATAACCAATCACAAACATGAACCATAATCCAACCAATCACAGCACTGAACTATTCCTACACATACGCCCATCCCCGCCCCTTAGCCACACCCTCTCGACCAATCAGATTCGTGAACTATAAATAAGCCACGTCCCCTTAACCAATCAGATTCGTGAACTATAAATAAGCCACGCCCCCAAACCAATCAGATTCGTGAACCATTGCTGAGCCACTCTACTAATGTAAACAAGATATAAACATTTTATGTTTAAAAAAATTAGACAAGTGCAAGTTAAACTCGTACTGCAATGACGGGTTCCGTACACAAATATTAAAACAATACTTGCAACATTTATCGGTAATTGGTAGAATTAAAATAAACAATTAAAAAAATATATTAAAATCATTTGATAAAAAAAAACTAAAAGAAATTAAAGTATTATATAACTAATATTGTAAACAATAATAAGTAGAGGAACTAATTTTGAAAATTTTGTTCCTCTACTTAACAAAGAGATGAGACACAAAAGTCTCACCAATAGAGTTCCGCCGATACACCGTAGGTGTACGGAACCCTAAATATTCTGAAAATGTTTATAAATGCAAAAGAAAATAGATTATTGGTTATATAATTATTAATAACAATGAGAATTATTAACTATAAAATCATTTTTTAACAAAATAGACATACATTACTTAAATAAATATAAATTTGTCTACAAAAAACAATTTAAAAAAAAAGACTAAAGTTATCTATTTGTTAATTAAAATTGTTTTTTTTACAAATTAAATAAACTGTATTATGCATTATTATTTCTCAAGTGGTCATACTAGACTAATTTAAATTGATTTCGATCTTGTGCAATGGAAAAATAAAAAATAAATAGTATTTTTTACAAAAATATTGTAAATTGTTAACTTTGAGTAACAAAAAAATAAATAAACAATTAAACATTCAAAAATCGGTTTCAAGGGATCTCTTAGAAATTTTATCCCCTTGGATTTAAGATCAAGAACATCAAAATCCAATAAAATTTGTAGGCTCTAGACAATTTTGAAGAGTAAAGTATAAAAAATCCCACTGTGAGGCGTCCCGGGTAAAAGATACTGCACTTGCACTGAAACGTGGTCGCGCTTCCACAAAAATTGCAATATCTCAAAAACTATTAAAGTCTCCATCGTTTTCTTTTTTTTAAATGAGAGGTGAAATTATAAGGAATATTGTATTATATATCAAAAAATACTCAAAACTCGGTCCCGTGCTTAATAAATCGATTGAAGAAATTTTTTTTTCTTTTTAAAAAAAAAAACAAAAAATTTTTTTTCTGTTGAAAAATTCTGAAAGGACATGATTTTAAGTACAACATATTTGTGACTGTCCACGAGAAAACAGGGCTTAGCTCCCAAACGTGAATTTCACAGGGCGAGCGATTAAAGTACTACGATTGAAGTTAACTACGCTTGACATACCCATCTTTAAAACGATATATTGTCGAAAGTAGTTGATATTTTTAACTTTTGACTTTTGCATCTGAAAAAGCAACATAAAATCTGTCGATTACCATAAAAAACTCAAATTGATTTTTTGGACCTAAACCGTGTTTTGTCGTGGACAGTCGACGATTGAAGAATATTCACATTTAAAAAAATCTTATAAAATAATTCAAAATGGCGTAACTTTTACAATTTAAAAAATTTTAAAAAAATCTTTGGTACACATATTTTTGTCATCAAATATAACAACTTCACTAAATTGCAGAATAATTCGAAGACCTAATGCAAATTGTAATTTTTCTGACGGAGTCTTACCCGGTTCTAAAAATGGCGGATCTAATATAAGAACTAGTCATTTCTTGATGTCATTATTGATGTTGTAGATTAGAAATGTTATATCGGTTTTGAAATAGCGAATCCAATATAAGAACAGAAAAAATAAAGGAGTGTAAAATCTGACCGAATTCCTCCCCGTGGTACACTCTGGGGTCGTAAGTAACGTAGTATACTTACCAGCTGACTGCGGGTGGAAAATTTGGTATTTTTTATCGTCTAAAAAGTATCTAGTCTCAATTCATTAAAAGTCTCTAGTATAAAGTTTCAAGTGAATCCGATGAATTTTTAAAAATGTCCGCCATATTGGAACCGCCTTTTTGAATTTTCCGAATCTAATATCAAATTCGTAATCAACGACCCCGAAAACCCCCGAGTAAAAAGTTTCAAGTGAATCCGATGAATTTTTAAAAATGTCGTCCGCCATATTGGATCCGCCATTTTGAATTTTTAAAATCTGATATCGGATTCGTAATCAGCGAGTTCAAATACAATAGTATGCTCGTTTGCGCAAATTTTGGTTTTCTAAAAAGTTGTCGACATTTTGAGCCCACTTATGAGGTTTTGGTCTTAACTGCGAAGAGGTTATGCAAATAAAATACTTTTGTTGTGAATTTATGCGACTAATGCAACTTTTTTTTATCTTAAAGTCGATCCGAGCCCTGTAGTATTTTTGTTATTGTACCTGAAAAATGCAACAAAAGTTAAAGTGCACAAAATGTTAATTTATTTAATGATTTCAAAGAGTAAAAATAGCACCAGAACGGGAATCGAACCGTTTGGTTTCTTTTATTTGATTTATTATCAATTTTGTAATAACACTGATATTTACCTCAATTTCGTCCCTTTTTGACTCAAGTTTATAAATTTAATAATATTCGTCTGCAAACTCGTCACATCGATGTTCAAGATCAAAATAATAATTTCGGAAATTAATTGTTCCTATCTTTTGTTTTGATTGTTTATAATCGCGAGAGTAAGACTCTCGTCAACTCCTTACTCAACGTTACGGAAAGGCGTAATCTGAAGTCATCATGGGAAGCGTTTCCTGGAATATAAAGTTAGAAGAGATTCCCGATTATTCAAGTGTGCCAGAAAGCAGCCTTTTAGTTATTTAACGTGCAGGACCTCCCAATACTGGTATACACACGAGCCGCTACGACCGTACGGACCAAGAGACTGCCTGACCAGAAGCGATAACGTATGAGGCCCTTGTCTACCCACCCACAGTTGCCTGTGGGCTCCTGGGTGGGGGGCGGGACCTTTCCAATTCCTGGTGACTCTGCAGGTAACCACCCGAGTTGAGGACCTGCAACTCACTCAGGCAGGCGTTGAACACATCTCTAACTCAGCATACGAGCTTTCAACCACTGTCAAGAGGGGAATGGAAAAACGCTTTCAAAGCATTAAATTCCCTTACCACCGCTGGTACAGATAGGCAATGCCTGAAATGAAAGAAGACTGGTGCCCAATGAAATGGAGAAGCAGTTAGATGCAGTCGTTTTGACCCCGCCAATACCCCATGTTGGAGATTGACGAGGGCAAGCCTCATGCACTACCAGCGGAGACCACGCGGAGGTTCTGCTTCCAGACCGAAGTCTCACCAGACCCGTACAAACAGGCGTAATGCGTTCGATAGTCACTTAGTCGTCTCTCACAGTGCTCTTGAAACAAAAGCAGGGTTTTTGAAAATGGATGGAAGATTTTCCAACGTAGAGTTTTCCCACAGGACCTCTAGTTTCTGAATTTTCAAGCCCCGAAATCGCACCTGATTCTATTTTAAAAATACATGTAAATAGGGCAAATTTTCTCAAGAGTACCAATGTCAAAATTTAAAGTTCCTGGATCGGACTAATATCTTCATAGTATTCAATACTATGAATGAGTACTTTAACCACCAAGTATTATGAAATTTCATAAAAAATTGAAGAGGGGGGAGGGTGTTGAAGATTTTGGTTACGTATGAACAGGAAAAATGACGTTTTTTTGTTTTTGAATAATCAATAAATTAATTAATTTAAATTATTAAAATTGAAATATTTTACAATAAAATAAAATTAACGCACTTCTGAATTTCCTTCTGTAAAGAATTACAAAATTCGCATCAGGCGACCCGTATGTTAAGTATTTTAGATAAATTGACGTTTTATAAGTAAATATTTGGGGCATTCTTGTCAAATTTTACCCCCTATCTGTCCATTTTTAATTTTAACGAAACAAATCAAAAAAGGGCTTAAATTAAAGCTTGGAACCTCTACTTTTATTTGCATGGTGGCCTTTTTTAAAAATTCAAGATGTCGGACTTGTACGTCGCGTTAAAGCAGTCGAGGAGCATAAAAATATTCTACTTTTTGCTAAAAAAAATATGAATTTCAAAGTAAAAATAGTTTATTTTTGGCACAAACATACCTCTTTATACGTACTTTACTTAGCCTTATTAACATTTTCGAAATTTCAAAATGGCGGATTCAATATGGCCGAAAAAATATAAATTTTTGTCAATCTTTGCGAAACTTACTATTAAGGGGTTATTTGGGTCGTTGATTACGAATCTGAAGTCAGTTTTGCAAAAACAAAAGTGCGGATCCAATATGGCAAATCCATTTTTCAAAAATCGGACTTTTTTGCCTGAAACTTGTTTCTGAAGTACTAATAAGAATAACTAAATATCAAGTGCAAATAAATAAAAACAGCGTAAATGGTTTCAAGCAAAAAGTACAATTTTTAAAAAATGGGTCAGCCATATTGGATCCACCATTTTGTTTTTTGCAAAACTGTCTTCAGATTCGTAATCAGCGACCCAAATAAGCCCTTAAGGGGAAACCCCACCTTAATTTTGACGCCTTTAAAGAAAAATTATTAAACGAGGTAATATTTTTTTTCCTGTATCATTTTTAACCTGCAAACATATAAGATGGTCAAAAATATTTCATTTTAATTTTTGAAGAGGTTAGAATTTTTTTCTATTAACCTATTGCATATTATTGCAAATCCATGCAAGAAGTTGTTTATAATGGTAAAATATGCATGGAAAAAAATTTTCGTTAAAAAATATTAAAAACTGTAAGAGAAGATCGATTTTTAATATTCAAATCTTTAAATTTTGCCGAAATTTGGAAAGCCTTAAATCTTTAATTTTTTTCCAAACTTTATATACTTACGTAATTTGATGCTTTTAGTCAAAAAACATTGTTAAAATTGACATTTAGCTCATTTTCGTAGTAAAAACCATAAAAAGCATAGTCCGAAGCTTTCATGGTATACTTTATATATACCGAAATAAATGCAAAAAGCCATGATTTTTATAGTTTTTACCATGAAAATGAGCTAATCGTCAACTTTAACTATGTTTTTTCGACTTAGAGCATCAAATTGGAAAAAAATAAAGGTTCAGGAAATCCGAAATTTCGGAAAAAGTTAAAGATTTGAATATTAAAAATTGATCTTCTCTTACAGTTTTTAATATTTTTCAACGAAAATTTTTTTCCATGCATATTTTACCATTCTAAACAACTTCTCGCATGGATTTGCAATAATACGCAATAGGTCAAAAGAAAAAAATTCTAACCTCTTCAAAAATTAAAATTAAATATTTTTGACCATCTTATATGTTCTCAGGTTAAAAATGATACAAGAAAAAAAATATTACCTCTTTTAATAATTTTATTTTAAAGGGGTCAAAATTAAGGTGGGGTCTCCCCTTAATAGTAAGTTTCGCAAAGATTGACAAATATTTATATTTTTCGGCCACATTGGATCCGCCATTTTGAATTTTGCAAAAATTGACTTCAGATTCGTAATCAGCGACCTCAAAAACCCCTGAGTAACAACTTTAATGCAAAAAAGTACGCTTTTTGAAAAATAGGTCCGCCATATTAGATCCGCCATTTTGTATTTTGCAAAACTTACTTCAGACTCTTAATCAGCGAACCAAATAACCCCTTAATAGTAAGTTTAGCAAAGATTGACAAAAATTTATATTTTTTCGGCCATATTTAAGGACAGTATTTTATGACGCTGAAAATTACTGGATTATGCCCTGAAAAACTGATTATTATTATGCGAAATTATGCGTTGAAAAATTAAAAAGTGCAAATTGATGCTTTTGAAAGAAAAACGTTATTAAGGTCCCAAATAAAGCTTTTAACATTATGTTAATTTTTTTTAAAGAAAAACTACCAACATTTTTAAATAAAGCAACTTATTCTCTATAAATATAGAGTAAAGGTCATCATAAGAAATATGTTTTACGATGAGTACGGTAACAAGGAGCTGGTTTCTCAGAAATACAAAATTCAAACGAATTTAGTTAAAGTAAAAGATAAAAAAATGCTGTGGGTTCTCAGCTGTAAAAAGATATTGTTTGGGGTGATCCCTAAAGCATACTTAATTTCCGAAATTTTATCCCCCCCATCTTGATACTTTTCCCATTAATGATTAATATGAAGCATGATATTTTATGGACCCCCCTACTCCTTCAAATATCACATGCTTTATGGACGACCCCTTTCTTAAAAAAAGAAATCATTCTATTGAGGTGAGGAGTAGATTTTTATGTATTAAAAAAGCCCACTAAACTCAAGAAAAATCTGAGATTCAGTGCAGTAGTTTTTGAGAAATAGTGCGATCACCGATTTGCAAAATTCTGTTTTAAGAAAAACGATTTTAAAATTTTATCATACTCTTTCATTAGACGAAATTTTGTTCCGAGCTACGCAGGAAGCCGGACTTAACTGAACCTTACTTCAGATCTTTAAAGCTTTATATCTCACTCAATTTTTAAAATATCAACTTATTATTTTACAAACATATGTCTGATACCCTACCCACACAGTACCGAAACTTTCCTAAAAATTTATTAAAGATTTACTTGCAAACTTCAATGAATTTACTTGCAAAGTTAGATCAACATTTATTGAAGTGGGGCATTTAAATCTTTGCAGAATTTTCACTAAACTTTGCAAGTAAATACTTCCAAGCTTGCAAGTAAATTTTTAGTAAATATTTAGGAAATTTTCGGTGTTGTGTGAGTAAACTTAGAAAAAATACAAGAAAAGAAAAACCGATTTTTTGAAAATTACAACTAGGATTGCCCTTTTAATTATGGATGATTAATTTTATTCATAAATTTATAATAAAATGTATTTATAAACAGATATTTTGTTAATGCAGATTTAGACTGTGAAATATTTTTATATTTCTTGTACAAAAAATATAATTATGCACAATTTTTGAATTCTCGCATAATTATGCAAGAATTCAAAAATTGTGCGATGAAAAAAATTATGCGTTTTGATGCGACGTTAAATTTATTTTATTTTATTCATAAACATTATAATACGTAAAACTTTAAACTTTCTTTCAATTTTTTAAAATTATGCGATTATGCGCTTCGCACAAAGTGTAGGTCTCTAGCCATATTGAATCCGCCATTTTGAAATTTCGAAAATGTCAATAAGGGTAAATAAAGTACGTATAAAGAGGTATATATATATATATTATATATTCTATATATTATAAGAGGTATAAAGAGGTATGTTTTGTGCCAAAAATAAACTATTTTTACTTTGAAATTCATATTTTTTTATCAAAAAGTAGAATTTTTGTATGCTCCTCGACTGCTTCAACGCGACGTACAAGTCTTTTTTTTATATTTTTAAAGAACAATTTTTTATTTAACTTTTACATTTTTCATGTAAGAAGAACTGATTTCTTTTTTATCTTAATAATTACTTATTATTTTAATATCAACAAGAATTCAATTTTACGTAAATCATAATAAATTAATTGCAAAATGGCTTAAAACCCTTTCAGTCCCAGTGGTCGATATATCAACCACCTTTTAAGGAGGTTGTTTACAGCTATGCAGACCTTTAGAAAAAATATTGAATTGACATTAAATAATTTTTTAATATTTTTGTTACTTCTATCTTCTGGAAGAACAAATATCATTTTTCAAGAAAAAAATTTGAATCTTACAAAAATTGTTTATTTAGTCAAAATGACTTCGTCAAAATGCAAAATGCATACGATCAAAGTTTTCTTCATATTAAAAGGTTAAACTTTATAAAAACTGTTTCGATTTAAGTCAATGATAGCTTATTTTCTTTAGAAAATGGTTCTCTATAACTGGACCGCTCAGATTTATAAACAAATACATCGTTTTGAAAATATGCTTATTTATTTAAAGAAAATTTTTTAAATTAATTTACTTTTTTCAACAAATAAGCATATTTTCAAAACGATGTATTTGTTTATAAGTCTGAGCAGTCAAGTTATAGAGAATCATTTTCTGAAGAAAATCAATTTCGTCCCTTTTTGACTCAAGTTTATAAATTTAATAATATTCGTCTGCA